CTGTAGGACGGGCAGCAGTCGCGGACCCCGCACTGGTAGCTCTGGGACCCGCAGGGGCTCCCGCAGTCGTAGCTCCGGTAGCTGTACACGGCCCCGTAGCTGCAGGGGGAGTAGCAGGAGTCCTCACACTGCCGCTGGTAGTAGAAAGTCATCTTGACTGGGTGGAGGGAGGTGGGTCTGGAAAGCAGAAGAAGGGAAGGATCACAGAATGGTTTGGGCTGGAAGGGACCGTCAGGGTCATCTCACAGAGTCACTTTGGGGTGGGAGGGACTCACAAGGACCTTAACTGATGGGCCCATAAGGGGATCAAACCCACGACCTTGTTGTTATCAACACCCCCCACTAGCCCAGGTTGCTCCAAGCCCCGTCCAACCTGGCCTTGGACATTCCCAGGATTGGGGCAGCCACAACTTCTCTGGGAATCACCTCCCCACCCTCCCAGGGAACAATTCCTCCCCAGTATCCCATCTAACCCTGCTCTCTGTCAGCCCCAAAGATAAGATCAGGCCTGTTCCCAGCAGGAAGTTGCTGCTTCCAGGAAACCCCACAGGAAGAGGGAGAGGAGAGAAGGGTGAGCACAAGAACCGACTGAACATCTCAGTTCAAGGCTCCACTTTGGCTCCTTCTTGCCCATCTCCCTCCTTTCTGGTTTTCCCCCTTCTTTTCTCCCTAAAAATATTTGATGCTGCCATTCTGGTTGTCATGGCTTGGGATTGGCAGCCTGGATTCAGGCAGGAATTTAGAGGGGACATTGTTAGCACTGAGTTGTCTGAGCAGTGCCCGATGTTTCTCTAAAAACCAGAAGTGAACAGACACTAATCCAGGAATGAATTCTGTCAGTCTGTGCTCTTGAGACAAATCCTCACCAAAAATCCTCCCCTCGTGCAAGTCTGCTGGAAAAAGCAGCTTGTTCCTTTGGCTCTGTGTCCGTGCCTTAAATGCCAGATGAATAAATACTTGTTTCTTGTTTGAAACAATTGAGAAAATGTAATTTGGTGTCCGCTTCATAGAATCACAGAACACCCCCAGTGAGAAGGGACCCACAAGGATCATCCAAGTCCAACCTCTGGTCCTGCACAGGACACCCCAAATCCCCCCCTGTCCCTGAGAGCGTTGCCTCCTGGAGCTCTGGCAGCCTTGGGGCCGTGCCCACTGCCCTGGGGAGCCTGGGCAGTGCCCCAGCACCCTCTGGGGGAAGAACCTTTTCCTAATATCACACCTAACCCTCCCCTGCCACGGCTGATTAATAATGAAGGAGCCTGAACTGCTCCATCAGATCCTAAAATAAGGTAATTTCTCATGGTGCACGTCTAGATGAGCCAATCTCCTACATTTACATGGGCAGCTTAATATAGGATTTTTAGCAAAAAAAAAAGGATTTCATGGCTATGAAATCCCTTTTAAAATACACTTTTAAAGTATTAATGCCATGCCTATCCCAATACAGCGAACCCCAGCAGTAAAGGCAGTGCAGGAAGCCTGACTTACCACGTTGGGCGAGGAGGTAAAGCTGAAGATGCGAGTGGAGAGCCTCGAGTTTCTCCCCCTTTTATATATTTATCTGCCCAAGCCTCCTGTCCTTTAACCTGCTATTCATCCCAACCCAAATTTACCGTCTGCACGTCGTTCCTTGGGTTGATGTCATTGTTTTCCTTGCTTTGGGAACTATTAGTCAGGTCTTGGCTTCCAAAAGCATGACCTTGCGTTGTCGTTTTCTTTCATGTTCAGACTTCCGGGGTCAATTATATTTGCAGAATTAGTGTGGTGAAATCTGAGTTATAACAGGAAAGGGAAGGAAGGATATTGAGAGCAGAATTAATTGATGCTCACAATCCCAGTTTTGGATGAATGGACAAATGCCAGTTCACAAAGCCTGCAATGACTCTGGATTCCTCAGAGGAACAAAGGACTGCAATTATTTTTGGCAGAAATAGTTTATTATTTGTTTTGGTTTTTTATTTCAGAATTGCAGTTTTTGATCAGAATAGTTGTGTATTTTTAGTTATAATTTTTTAATATTTTTGTGGTGCATGGATGTGTTAATTTTGTACCATGACCTCCCACAGGAAGGTCATTCTGGAGAAAATCTGATTTATTTGCTTGCTGTGCTCTATCAATTACTTTGACCAAAATTAACAAACTCCTAAGTCTACACAGAAGGAATATCTGTTTGGTGCTCTTTTTATGCTTAGATCCTAAAATTATTTGCTCAGGGGTTCATGACAAAACAGGGACTTATCTCTCTAATAACTGTAGTTTTCCTGAGGAATCCCCCAAATTCCAAATATGGTTTAATGTGATGTTTTCTTAGTGTTGTTGAGGTGTTTAATTAATTTGATGATTAATGCTGAGCCCTGTGAATGTGACTTGGGAAGCAGCAACAACTTGGTCTTCCCTGGTGACCTTCACCTCCAAGCACTGCTGTTTACCCGCATCCAAAGGCAGGATAATGACAGGCACGTCAGGAGTTCTGGGCCTTTCTCTAAATTTCGAATATCAAAGCCTTCATTAATACTTATTAAATATTTCCCTGCACAAAGAGATTTATTATTTGAACGTTAATGCCACCTTGCTACGCCCGGTTATGTAAGACCCGCTCTAAAAACGCGTATCGGGCTGTGCTGTTTCTGTGCTTTATTAACTCGTAATTTATAGCTTCACAACTGGGGCTCTGGGGGTTTTTTCCCTCTGAAATGCGTCGTGTACATACCATTTCGGTGCTCACAGGCCAATTTTCCGGCTGAATCAATGCCGGCCCCAAATCAAAGGAATGGTCTTTCCCCCTGTGCAAGTCACCGGGAACGTCGGAGGGGTCGGTGCTGCCTCCCGGCTCATTGGAGGTGTGGAACACGAGAGAAGCTGAGGTTGTGCTTCCCTTCCACGGCTGTTTCAGGGGGAAAAAATGCCCAGCGAAGCAGGTGGGCCGACACTGCCCAGCGAGGCTACTCCTCCAAGGGCGCTGCGTGTGGAATTCCGGAGTCCTTGCGTATTCTGGCGACCTGTCGCGGTGCCGAAGAGCCAATTCAGCAGGATGATACCAAGGCTTAATTGCCCTGAGTAGCTTTGAGATGAAAGGGACCTGCAGGGGTGTAGCCCGGACCAATAATCAGAAACCCTGTGGAGGAGCGGGATATCAATGGGAAGGAGTCATGGGGGAGGCAAAAAGGGGTTGGTAATTGGAGCTGACCCGAGCTGGGGCGGGACTGGACGCTCTATAAAAACCCTGCACAGCCGAAAACCAGGCACTCGCTTCTCCTGCTTTATCCTCCTTGGACACTTGGGTAAGTCGGGATAGATTTAGGAAATTTTGGTGAATAGTGAAGAGATGTATTTGTTACTATTCCCCCTCCTTTCTTTTCTGCCCATCTACAAGATAAAGGCATTGGGAATGAAGGCTGGGATTTGATGAGAGTTATTCGTATGTAAAATAGCCTTTCCTCCCTGGATTTTAATTAATATTTGAGCGTTCTGCAGGCATCCTCTTTTCCCCTGAAGTCTTTGTCTCGGTACAAAGCCTGTGGAGGGTTTTCGGTTTATTCCCTCCCAGGTCTTTAGACGCAGAGTCACGGCTCGCAATCCCATTTCCCGGGGGTGCAATCAGTGAGGCTGGGAAGGCTCAGGATGGAGGATTAGGGGAGAGACCCGGCTTTACAAATCAGGAGGGAACAGCAGAGGAGCGCAGAGGGAGCCGGGCAGTGGGTTTGCTGCACGTCCTCGGGGTTTCCTCGCACCTCACGGGCTTTTTCTGCCATGCTCCGTTCCAGGCTCGCCCCCCTCCACCCAGCCAAGATGACTTTCTACTACCAGCGGCAGTGTGAGGACTCCTGCTACTCCCCCTGCAGCTTCGGGGCCGTGTACAGCTACCGGAGCTACGACTGCGGGAGCCCCTGCGGGTCCCAGAGCTACCAGTGCGGGTCCGCGACTGCTGCCCATCACAGCCGGCCGCTTACGCTCCCTACTCCCGGTACAGCCAGAGGTACAGCTACGGCAGCTGCTACCCCTGCTACCCCTGCTAGATCCACAGACCGAACGGGAAACGACCACCGGAATCGAGGAATTCGCGGCTGATTTTCGGCGGAGCTTTGCGGGAGCTCCGGGACTGCGAAAAGCTGCAGGACTCGGAGAGCTCAGCCTTCCCATAAAGCTTCAACCTTTTTCCCAAGCGTTTTGTCTCCCTTTTTCTCTGCCGGTTTCTTAGCCCTGCCCGGGTTTGGTGGTGTGAAGGAACGCGGGTTTAATGTTGGTTAATTCGGGTGAACGACTTAACTCATTTATAGCTCTTTCTCGGCTGATTTTAATGAAGTCTAGAGTGTGCCTGTACGAGCCCTCCTAGGGATGTTTTTCTACCTTAACTGCCTTTGAAACTGCACCAAAGAAACACTAATTCGTCTAATCAGGTTTGTTTCATTCGACTTGAAGCAAGTGGAAAGGTTTAAAAATGTAAATTGGCAGTAAAATGCTCCAGCAAAATTGTTCCAATGAAACCGGGAGATTTTCTGCAGATATAAATTCATGTTGTACCCATTTCTTTCTTCTTCTGCTTTCTGTGCTATTTTAGATTGTGAGCTTTATTCTTATTAAAAATGTTACAGCATCATTTCATGTCCCTGGTTTTCTTTTTTCTGACTTGGATATACACAGATTTTTGTCCCCAGCTTGATGTTTTAGGAGACACACAGCACCCTGTGGCTTTTATGAGACTCATTTAGAGCTCAGCTGAACCTGAGCACACATTTTGCAAACTAATAACCCAGTAGAGCCTCAAAAAAAAAAAAAATGAAGTTGCCGGTTCTGGAATTTCCTAGGAAGGGTTTGGAAATATTTTTTCAATTTGCTTCAGCATCACAGCTCTGCCACTGGACATAAGAACAACCCCAGAATTACTGGGGAGTAAGACAAGATGTTGGCAGAAAATTCCTCTTTCTCGTGGTTTTTTTTTTTTTTTTTTTTTTTTTTTTTTTTTTTTTTTTTTTTTTTTTTTTTTTTTTTGCTGGCAGTGTCTAAGGTTTGTCCAGCTTTCTGGATTTAGAGACCTGATCTGTTAGAGAGCAGAAAATCGCACTTTCCGTTCGCCTCATTAAGTGCTGCTCAGGACAAGTGTTTGCGAGCGTCGCTTCAAGCGCTCCATTTGAATGACAATGAAATGGTGCGAAGTTCCCAGGCTGTGGAATCACCCCGGTGTCATTAAGGTGAGAGCCCTTGACGCAATTCCAAAGGGACTCATTACTCCTGACTGAAGTGTCCAAATGGCAGCAATAACTTGTTAATAGCGCGATGCTGTCCCAGAGTCTGGGCACAAAGGGCTGGTGAAGAGCTTCGAGAGCCCCATCGAACCCTCGAGCCCCTCCTGGGAGTGGAATCGCCGCCCTCTGAACACGCAGAGGCGACTTCACAGAATCCCAGGATCCCACAGTGGCTTGGAAGGGACCTCCGGAGATCACCCAGTGCAAGGCAGGGTCACCCAGAGCAGGTGACACAGAGACACCCCAGGAGGGGTTGGAATGTCCCCAGAGAGGAGACTCCACACCCTCCCTGGGCAGCTGGTCCACCCTCCCTGGAAAAAAGTTCTGCCTTGTGTTGAACTTCTTGAGGTTTAGTTTGTGGCCATCACTCCTTGCCCTGTCACTGGGCACCACTGGGAGGAGTCTGGGACCATCATCTGCCACCCCTTGGAGATATTTGTGTGGATGGGTGGGATCCCCTCTCAGATGAGAGGTTTGTGTGGATATTTGATATATTTGTGTGCATAGAAGGGATCCCCTCCCAGCCTTCTCTTCTCCGGACTAACCAGGCCCAGCTCCCACAGTCTCTGCTCATCAGAGATGCTCCAGACCCCAAATCATCTTTGTGGAAGAAAGAAATCCAAATTTCGAGGATGAGAAGGCAAAGGAGGCAGTTTTAGGGTCTCTCGTGGTTGTCTGTTTAGAGCCACATCTGAATGAAACATTTGAAGGCTATAAAATCCCATTCTGACTAAAGTAAACATTGAAATGCCCCAACACGCACCTTTGAAGTGACTGTTTTTCAATAATGAAGCACCTGAGAAGAGAATTAAGCTTTTAATAGTCTAATAACACACTGTAAATATATAAAATAGTTACGAGCGTCTGAGAGGTGCTTTGAACTTCTAAAATTATCTGCTGTGGAAAGAAGACATTTTGTATTTCTGCTGGAGAAAAGGACCAAAAAAGGAATAAATGAATTAACTGATGCTTTTCCCTTTAAACCTGTCCCTTAGAATGGGGGTAATAACTTGTTTGCATCCACTGTGTGCTACAACACAGGGTGTCCATGAGCTGTTGAGTGTCTCACAAACCCTGTTCACCAACTAATGCGACTTGAGCTTCATGATCATCATCATCTCAGGAGGAATTTCCCCCTGGAAAGGGTGTTCAGGCCTTGGCAGGGGCTGCCCAGGGAGGTTTGGAGTGTCCAGCCCTGGAGGTGTCCAGGGAAGGACTGGCCGTGGCACTGAGTGCTCTGGGCTGGGGCCAAGGTGGGGATGGGGCACAGGGTGATGACCCTGGAGGTCTTTTCCAACCACAAGGATTCTGGGACTCTGTGAACATATCCCTGCTCAATGTGGAAAATCAGAAGAGCAAACTCATAAAAACCAACCAAAAACCAAGTTACTGCAGCAAAGTGAAGTTTTAATGTGGATGGAAAATGCAACAGACAGTGTCAGCAAGACACAAACCAGCACAGGAACAAGGGATTGGAAACACAAAAATCCTAAGGCAGCAGCAAGGCCCAACCCA